TCGGCATATTGATGACACGAAGCCCCACATCCCCTGATGACCCCTCCCAGCGGCCTCATATAGATGTTGAACAGCATTGGGGAGATGATCGACCCCTGTGGAACCCCACAATTGAGACTCCATGGGGCCGAAATACTCTCCCCAAGCTGCACTCTCTGGGGGCGGTCCTCCAAGACGGAATGGAGCCAGGTGAGTGCCGAGCCACCAATTCCCAACTCGGAGAGCCTCCCCAGGAGGATACTGTGGTCGACGGTATCAAAGGCCGCCGAGATGTCGAGGAGAACCAACAGAGACATTTTACCCTGCTGTCTCTGTGCCATAGCACAACCTGAATCCCGACTGGAACGGATCCAGGGCATCTGTTTCATCCAAGTAGGCCTGAAGCTGATCAGCCACCACCCTCTCGACCACTTTGCTCATGAAAGAAACATCAGCGATGGGCCTATAATTGCCAATTTCGTCCGCCGCCATATTGAGTTGCTTTCTTATGGGCCTAATGAGTGTCTCCTTAAGGGCAGATGGAAAGGAAAGACCCATTTATTATTACTGTGGCCCATTCAGTTCTTATTGGCCTGGCTGCTTTAATTAGCCAGGCCGGGCAAGGGTCAAGGGAGGAGGTGCTGGCCCGGCAGCGATCAAGCACCTTGTCCACAGTGTCGGGCGTCACAGACTGAAAAGAATCGAAAGTTACCGGGCAAGGTGGAGCACTGGACATCTCTGCTCAATTCACTGTACTCAAAAAAGGAGAGAGCTCCTGGCAGATGGCCTCCACTTTAGATTTTAAAAAGGCTGCAAACTGGTTAGGTGAAAAACTAGGGGGAGGCCTGTCACCTATTGTGTATCCAGTTCTTTCCCTAGCATTTCTGGTAGAGGGTTTTCGCTATTGCATTGTGCAAGTGGGAGCCCTACCACTTTCAACAAGTTATGTAACTGCAAGTTGGAGATTGGGTGGGCCACTCCTGTCATGGATATCATGCTGTGCATTTCCTCAGCAGGATTCTGCCCATCATCACAGGTTCTGAGGGCATATGTCATGTCCATTTGGCTGTCACAGTTCATGCAAGACTGACAAAACTGCTGGACCAAGGCAGTTTCAGATCTTTTACTTCCATGAGTTCTAGCTCTGTTCAAAAGTCATGTGTATGATACATATACACTGCTCCCTTGAATTGTGTGGGTTTGAACAGCATATTTTGGTTATACATTGATTTCTTAAAAATTAAATAAATCCAATAAATACATATTAATTAAATAAATACCTATTAATTAAATAAATATTTATTTATTTTTATTATTATTTATTTTATTTATTTGATGTGTACCCCGCCTATCTGGACCAATGGACCACTCTAGGCGGCTTCCAACATAAAATGTAAACAATAAACACAGCAAGTGCAGAAATAATACAAAACAACTATAATATAAATAGAAAAAATAAGAAGAAAATGATAAGTAGAAAATCAAGAGTTGACTGGAGGGAAGGCCTCCAGTCAACTCTTAAATACTGTGCCCCTACCCACCCAGAACCACATGAATTCAACACTGAAGGTGTCAAAGTGGTTTACTTGCCCCCAAACACAACCTCTCTCATTTAATCTCTAGATCGGGTTCATAAGGACCTTTAAGGTGCTATATGGAAAGGATTGTCAATTATATGGAAGAGAACCCCGACATAACTGTTCTCTCTCTTGTGTGTTAATCAACTTTGTAGCTACGTTTTGAAGAGCATACGAATTTCTTTTCTAGGCAATTAAGCTTACAATTATATATACACTTTCATGGGCACTAAGTTGGTGATGATTTAGCAAGGCTAGGAAAGCTTTTAAGATAAATGGATATAATAATATACTGAAGCCATCCGTAAATGTGTCCCATATGTGACCAGTGCTTGGTTATGGGTGACTTCACCATTTCAACCATTACACTCTTTTTTTTCTTTTTCTTTTTTTAAAAGAAATTCCCAAGATCTGTTTCTGAATGGTGGTACAGTAGAGTCCATTATATGGGATTACATGAGAGAAAAGTCCTGAGGCCAAATGTTGTCGTAGCATTCAGAATTTAAAGTTAAAACTACCAGTCAACCTTTGGGTTGAGCATAGCTATAAGAATATTGAAAGGTACTTATGCAGATACAGTAGATAGGTTAAATATACAGTATATACATATTTATTTGGCACAAGATTTCAAGAAAAAGCAGAAAATGCGTAGTCACATTAACATGGTTTTTCGAATGAACAAATACAGTTCATTGTACAGCACACAGGATTTTGCAAAGTCTCACAGAGATCTTGTTTCTGTCACAAGTGACTCATAAATAGCACTAGATGGTGCTGCAGATGCTGATGAATGACTTCCCATTTCCATTCACTTCACTTTAGGGTACATTCACTGATAAACGCTGTAATTGTACTAGGTTTTCTGATGTATCTGTCATACATTATCTCTCCTGCCGGCACAAAAGTCTGCAGAAGTGTCATCCTCAAAGAAGCCTATAGGGCAATTTCATTTCCTGTCTGTGTATTACCGCACTGGGAAATGGGATGAGGGACCAGACAGGATTTTTTAAAAATTACATACCTTGATTAACGGATGCAGGTAGAGCCTTTTTAAGCCTCGTACACCAGGTTGCGTCACGCATCAAAAAAAGACACTGCCTTTTCAAAAATCGAGATGAAGAAATATATGGGAGGCTACCCACTTCGTAAAAACTAAGCCAAGAACAGAAATGGCTATCTTTTCCTAGAATAGCCCAGAATTTGGAAGGAGCATATGTTTTAATGGGATCTTGGGAGGAAAAGACAACACTGCAATGGATGAAAGTTAAGAGATATGAAGCAGTGGGAGGGTGAATATGTGTCAAAGCATACTTACACTTCTGCTAAGAATGACACTCAGTTTCCCCAGAATTAATCTTTAATCAGTTTATTGAGTATGATACAAATTTTGCACATCTAGACTATGCCTACATAACAAGGCATGCATTATGACACAAGTTTTCATTGTGTCTTTGAAGACACTATGAAAACTAATACAAATTGGTTGTTGGATTGTATATTAATCACCTGTTACGTGGTGGTGAGGAGGAGGAGGATGCACATTTGCCAAATTACAACTTTTCTTTAAAATAATAAGTAATGCTAAAGCATATCTCTAATTTTTGTAGGAACTAATATGTGCAGCTGCTGTTTTTCTCATTTGTTTTATAATTAACTGGCTTGCTCTTGCATTAGAAAATACTAGCAATAAGTGGCACACATTTTCTGGAAAAAATCTTACTCACCTATTCTAAAGCCTTTTTAAAAAATCCCCTAGTGGGAAGAGAAAGCGATCTTGTTTGAAAAAAACAAAACAAAAACAGAAATCGTCTGTCTTACTCACAAAACCAGTAACAATAAAGACAAAAGAGTTCACAATCCTTATAACTCAGGTCTTGTTTTTTTAAATGTCAATCCCTCCTATTCAGGTATAAAAATGTTTGTAAAATTATTATGGCAGTTCATCAGCTAAAATCCACAATTAGTATACTTTAGGTGAGGCAGTGGCCGAGTTTGGAGTAGGCTACGTTTATTATACCCATTTTG